GGGGGTCACTCACCATCAGCTCGATAGTCTTGTCCTCGATCACTGAGTCGGGCTCCATAGCGGCGGGCGGCTCCTCGTCCCTCCCCCCCGCGCCTGCCTCCCGCAGCGCGGAACCGAAACCCCACTGGCTCCAATCTCGGGCCGCCGCCGCGCCGCCAGCTGCTCCCTCCCCCCGCCCGCCGGACGGACAGACGGACGGACGGACGCACGCTGTAGCCGCCGCGGCGTACCCGCGCCGCGTTCCCGGAACAGGAAACGCCGCACCAACGCCCCCCACCCCTCGAACCGGAACGCCCGGAGAGCCTACAACTCCCGGCAAGCTCCGCGGCCCCTTCCCCACACAGCGCGGAAAGGACTACAATACCCAATGGGTATCGCGCCCAGAGCCTGTCCGGGGAAGCTGGGCCGGGAGACCATCTTAATGCATGCTGGGAGTTGGAGTCTTTTGAAAGTAGGGACAGAGGCCATCATGGGGAATGAGGTTGGGGGGTCACAGCCTCACGTGCCCTCACCCGTCCAGGCTGCCAGGCCTGCAGGGCACTCCCTAGGCTGAGTCAGGGTGACGGGAGATATGCCTGAGGGCACCCTCCCCTCTCATGTGCCTGTGCCCGCCTCCCTGAGACCCACCAGAAATGCCCCCTTTACATTCTCAATCCCTGGGGCAGAACTGTCACGCAGAGAAACCCGTCTGACCAGCATTTGTGTGAGAGAGACCTTCAGGACACTCGAACAGAGACCCCCGGGACCGAGGCTATTAGGTGCTGCAGGATCCCTGACGGTTTCTGGGTCAGGGTTAACAACCTGTGGCCATACCAAGTAAGGTTGCAAACATATTTAAAAAAAAAATACGGGACTGTTTTCTTAGCACCCCACTCCACTCCTCCTGATATTACTAGTATTAATAATAAGCAGTACTCACCTATATTTGCATTTCTTGCTGCTTTTTGCAACACTCAGCAACTCCCGATCTTGTTGTACAGAGATGAAAAAATAAGGGATAAGGGCCTGCTGGCAACCCTTATATCAAGCACCCTAAAACATGTTAGTGTGCCACGTGATTGCATTATCCATTACTCTTGCCCTCCCTGCATGTGTCACGCCCTCACATGATACTCAAATCAGTCTATATAGCAAGCGCTTTAGACCTTGGGACTGGCTAGCAGGTGAAGTTAACTGGAGCGCTGCGTGCTCAATACCTCTGAATACCCTGTTTCCCCGAAAATAAGACATCCTCCAAAAATAAGGCCTACTTACAGTTTTGCCTCTCGTTGTAATATAAGGCATCCCCCCGATAATAAGACCTCCCCGATAATAAGGCATCCACCGATAATAAGGCATTTTTCATTTCTGAAAAATAAGACATCCCCTGAAAATAAGACCTAGCGCATCTTTGGGAGCAAAAATTAATATAAGACACTGTCTTATTTTCAGGGAAACAGGGTAGCAGGCTCTATTCCTTTAACTTAGGGTTACCATTCCTCCGGATTTTCCCGGACATGTCCGGCTTTTTGGTCCTCAAATCCCCATCCGGGGGGAATTGCCAAAAAGCCGAACATGTCCGGGAAAATACTAGTCCCCTGCTTACCTTAGAGCGGCTCCGGCAGGCTGCGAGCTGCAGGCGGATTCCCCCGCTGCCACGGCTGCTTCCCCCAGACACCTCAGCTTTGTGTAGCTGAAGAGCAGAGCTGCCCGAGCACTACCGGCTTCACAGTTTTCCGAGCAGCCCCCAGACCTCCAGACCCTGCGCCCCCAGCCGGGTGCTTCCCCAGCGCAGCCGGAGCCCGGGAGGGGAAGCGCCCGGCCGGGGGCGCAGGGTCTGGAGGTCTGGGGGCTGCTCGGCAAACAGTGAAGCCGGTAGCGCTCGGGCAGCTGTTTCGCATGGCTGGGAGGGAGGAGGGGGGAATGCAGGGCACTCAGGGGAGGGGGCGGAGTTGGGGCAGGGACTTTGGGGAAGGGGCGGGGTTGGGGTGGGGCCGGGCAGGGAAGGGGCAGGGCCCCGTGGAGGGTCCTCTTTTTTAATTTTTAAATATGGTAACCCTACTTTAACTGTGTTAAAAAGCAATATACAATTTTACATTACTATATAAGTAATAAGAAATAATAGTCTTTTATTCTCACATAGGCCTATTCTCTGATGCCCTAAATCTCCCTGACCCCAACTTAAATGCAGTAGATCTCCCTCACTTTGATCCTTTCAGAAACTACCTCCACACAGCCACCTGGCATAGGGAGCAGGAACTGGGTAGATCCAGAGCACTACTGTGCTCTGGCTTTTCTCAGTTGGATATAGCCTCGAGGGGGTCATAGGCAGATTAAGTGTAAATTACATCAGACTTTCTCAAACTCTGGCCTGAACAGTTTCTGGGTGGGACCTGAAATTCCTGTCTTAGTGTAGTTGTATGCTCTTGTATTTGAGAAAATTCAAATTATTACTTAAGGTTTTCTGTTATAGTCCCTGTGTGCTCACTCCAGTTCCAAGTGCAGTGTCTTTCATGCACCCAACAGGGCTTCAGGAACTGAGCAGGATTGCAATTTAGTGACTCCTCCGGAGCGTCAGGGCTATTGTAGCATCTCCCCATCGCTCTCAGTGCTCCTGGTACTGGTGCCTAGCTAGCATGAAGCTGCCAACAAGGATAGAGAAAGGAGATGGCAACATCCAACTGCCGCTCTGACCCTTGCCAGAGGGGGACACCATTGTAGGGGCAGAGACTAAAGAGAAATAGCAACAGAGGGTCCTGTGGCACCTTAG